AAATAGTGGCCACTTAAAGTTCAAATTGCAGTACCGCATTGATGTCTAATCCATTTTCTTAGAATGATTCGTACTGAAACTTGAGTGACCCTTTCCAAGTTATCTTTGCAATAGCACCACTGCAATATTGACTTTTGGCATATTTGGTAAATGGCACGTTGTTGGTATTGAAGCGCTGCTGGTTGTTCAAACGAATCCGGTTGGCCCACGTTGGCATCGGCTTGGTCTCTCCGGCCGTTATCCCGTGACATTTTCATTTCTGGCTCAGTTTTCAAACGCCGGCAGCTATTGCAACTTATTAATTAACTAATGAGCCCTCTACTTTTTTTTCCAAATTCCGAATAGCTCCGAATTTTCGCTTGCCCTCATTGTACTGTTTTCGATTGCTCGATTTATTTCCTTTTTTGAAATGTGTTCCAGGCCAATTCGATGGCAAGTACAGCGTCCCATTTCATCAAAATCTCGTTGTACTTGACCTCAATATTAGTCCGGTTTTTTGAAGAGCGTTTACCGTCTCGAACAAAATCATGTTTTTTTGTGATTGACCTAAATTATAAAAATTTTTAGGCCTTATTTGGCATGAGCTTCGCTCGTTTCCTTATCCCACGACGAAAGGAGAATGTGCTGAATTTTCTAATAATTATTACATTTTGTGCTTTTGTTATTTTCTACTACAAATTTGATGACAGAACTCTATTTCTAGGTAAGTTGCTGATTTCGAGCTTTTCATGGTGATTTTTGTTTTCTCTTTTTCTTTTCTTTACACAATGTTTATAACTTTTTATGTGCGCAATCAAGGTAGAAGCAAGAAAAAATCTATATCTTTGCATCATAATTCATGAAAGGGTGAAGTATTATCACGTTTACGCTAGTAGTTTCGGTTAGATTGTTGGACTACATTGGTGCAAAAACCAAGTCAAAAATCAACCTTTTTTAATCTTGTCTAGAGGTCCATTTTTTGAACAGTTTGAGTAGTCTTTCTCTTGTCTATTTGCTCATTGGCAACCCGTCATGGTTTTTAAGGTCGCAAATCGAGGCCGTCGAAACGGTCATGGGAACAACCGACCGTGAAACGAGGAGCGTTTGGAGAAAACGGGATGGGTGTGATACTTTATGGGAAGGACAAGAAGCAAGGACAACTTGATATGAAGAAATGGTTCATGAATGTGAAAGCGAGGTAAACCCTTTTGAAATAGTTATGCTGCATAAGCTGAATTGAAATTGGGCGCTCATCCGGTAAGGGGGGCATTGTGATGCAACGTCAAGTGGCTGCCCTCACCCCCCACCCCCTGAACTGGCTTCACTCCCCCTGGCTCACGGGGTCCCGTACTTCGAGAAACCTGTGCGCCAGGGGGAGTGTAGGCAGTCTAGGGGGTGGGGGGTGAGGGCAGCCACTTGATGCCCCCCCCCCCTTACTGGATGAGCGCCTGAAATTGAGTTACAAGATGGACGTAGATCTTGAGCGCTTTTCATAGTCAAGGCTAAATTAACGGAAGATTTGTCTCTTCATTTACCGCAATATGTCAAGGGAACATGTGCGCTTCTGCGTGCTGTCGTCTCCGTATGATTGCGTAATGTGCGAGTATTACACAGCGTCGCTTGCTCGAGGCAATGATATGAGAGCTGAGGATTACATTCGGGAAATTTTTGTTTCGCGGCCAATGAGGGATTAACTTGAATATCTGTTCCATTATTTTGCAATGACATATGGTCTCATTGTGAACGTGCAATCCACTCACAGGCGCTGCATAATAAAGTTACATGGCATATGAATATTCATTGCACATGGCCTCGTTAAAATAGTTTTTGCATGCTCCCTTTAGTATTAAGCGGCAATAGTCACCCGGACGAGAACTGCCGGCCGAAAGGAAGTGGTAGCTTTTAAGTCAGTAGAAAAAGAGTGCTTTTTCGACGAAGCAACTGAACTAACTTAATAGGTACAAAGAGCCTTAGAACGATCAAGCTCAAGGGAAAGGGAAAGAGCCGTACCGCGGTTTTAATTAATTTCCTTCGCGCTCTTAGATCAAGGGTTTTTTTCGCTCATTCTTATGATTTGTGGAGAATCATAAGGAAATATTCTCCACGAAAGATTACATGACCTGGTCTCCGCTATGGCTTCTCATTGATGCAGCAAATGTGTAATGCATTCTTTTTATTGATTCTTCTTTGGTTTACTACGAAGCCAGCGGGTCAACCGTTTAGTGGGCAACTCTACTGTAAAAATCGTGCTGTAAATAGTTAGCAATTGTCACTGAAAATTTTCAGATGGGGTAGGCTTGTTTCATTCATATTTATGAGTGATGGCTTTGTAATAGTGCTGCTGCTTGGATTGGAACAAATATAAATTAGAGTTTAGATTGTTCTGAAGTCATGGTCTCACGATAAAGCCAGAGTATTAACATTTTCTTTTTCACCGATGTCATCTCCGTGGTGCGGCTGTTTCAATAATGCTTTTTTATTTCATTCTGTCCACGTGGCTTCTGCTGTTCGTGCTATTTATCAGTTCTTTAATATATTTCAAGAAAAAACCTTTTATGACCATGTAAGAACTGGTTTTTTCTGATTGTCCTGTTCCCATAGCATGCTGCCTGGTGATTGTATCAAGAGCAATTGCAAACAGCAACGTCGTTTTAGGCCGATGTCAGACTTTGCGAATCGCTAGCGAATCACTGGGTACGAGCGATGCACCATGGGTTCGAACGATGCCTGTCGTGTCGCTGGTACATCTTTCGAACCGCTGATACTTCGTTCGTAACCAGCGAATCGCTGGATCGGGAGCGATTCGCAAAGTCTGACATCGGCCTTACGTTAGGGCGAGATTCATCCTATCGGCTTTGAGTCTTGAAATTCACTACAGCTCCAACATAGGCAAGGTCTACATTGATCTACCTTTATGACATTAAGGCTCTAAATTATACGTGCGCCCAGTCGCCTTTAACCATTGGGTTTGCCTTCGTATAAGCCGTGCACCTTCATCCTCAATATGTGATACACTGTGAAAGAGTATCGCACAGACCCTGATCGCTGCTGGGAGGAAGTCGCAGCGAACGCCTCCCCTTTTTCTAATGGCCACTTGAAAATTGTCGAACAAAAATTCCACCTGAGGTAAATGGAATCAGTAGGACGGTTAAACCTTTTAATGTTGCGAAAAAAATTCTTGCCCATTTCATAAGTTGTACAATACAATGTCTAGTGCCACATAGTCGACCTCTTTTCAACGAATGGATTGAACCATAAAAGTGGTTGAGCCATCGCCCTTGCCAGATTTTTCGACTTTACTGCTTATACAAAGCAGAAGAAATTCGATCTTCCTGTTATTTGTTCACTACTGCTGCTTTCAGCGACATGATGTCTCTGGATCGAAGTTTGCCTGACACACGAAGAGAAGAATGCTTGGATATTAAATATGACCTCGAAAACCTTCCTCAAGTACGCTATAATAGTTTCTTCAAACATTGCTTGGGCTCTAAAGGATTTCAAAAGTATAACACCAAAATGCGACTTCATAGTTCATTTGGACATCATCATGAACATATGAAAAATGTAATATGAAAGTGAATTACCTTTGAAGGTGATCCATGCCCTTTTGGGGTGCGCCACGCACCCCACTCCCGTTCAGAAACACATGGCATTTGAATGCGACTTGACCTGCGGAATGAACTTCGGGGTTTGCCAATTTACAACTTTTGTGGTTTCATACTCAAATAAGATAGAATCAGTGAGCCGACCCTAGGAGAGTTACATGGGTCTGATGCACGCGTGATTTGCACTGATGGTTAAGTGGTCAGAAGCGATCAAACTATGCGCGGCTAAAATACACTGTGCCAGCTTAACTCGCCTCTACCACTTTCAAAATTATGATTCAGAAATTGCTCCAGGAAGTTGTCCAGTTTCGATACATTGTTGGGGTTGTAATTTCCTGGAAGCCCATTCCATCCTGCGCGCAGTGCCTCCGAAAAAGTAGTCGCCATCTGATTAATTTTAGTGATGATTCATTTTTAAAATCGCTTTAAAATCGCTAGTGCTTTGCTTCGTCTTCCCTTTCCGGTGAATGGATCAGTCAGATTTCCAACCTTGTATAAGTAATGACTTGTTGAAATGTTTTTTTAGTATCAGGCAACGCCATAATATTAGGCTTTTTGCATTTTCTCTCCTATTAGGTTTGTCCATAAGTCTTGCAACAAATTACATTTGATGCTAGAAAGTTTTTGTAGAACTCCGAAAAATCCGCAACATGTTTGCTTACGTAGCATCCACCTTTGCAATTTCAGCCAACCATCCAGCTCGTTGTCTCGCTACTTGTTGTGGATATATATACATCGATTTCGCGAAAAGGTCTTCGTGCCCATAATTTTTACGAGTACTGCTTGGAATGTTCCGCAAGTCATGCTACACCAAGGATTAGCCAGAAGATGGGCGAGGGCACGCTCTCTCAATTCACGGTGCACAGGCGCTTCACTCTGCTCAGCGTTGACTTTTTTATTTGAAGATGATCCACACTCCAACCACCCCGTGACTGACAATCACGATGCTCTATCTGACGCTGTTGAAAAGGGATCTGGATGGACTATCGATCATTTGCAAGAGCAATTGTGATGCGACCAGGAGACAGCACTGTGCATCTACAAAGACTTTTAAAGAACCGAAAACAAGCGATATTGGACCCAATGCCTTGAGCCCGATTCACGCTCCCAAACTCGATCTCAACATCATTAGTCTCGCAGATGCCTGAGCCGCGATTCAGTACCAAATCGTATAACTTCGTATAATGTATGCTATACGAACATTTCAGCTCCAAACACGATCTGACATCGTTATGTTCAAGTCGACTTACTATGGATTCTTCGATTGACCATCCATCACATTTGCCGAAGATGAGGAGTGGTACAGTGTGCTAACAAATAAACAAGCGGCGGTAGTCCAGCTCAAACGCTTCGGGAGTTCTTACTGCTAAAGTTCAACCTCGTCCAAGTAGGGCCTTCTCGGATTTTTGGTGGAACACGAGAGGAGTTGAGCTCTGGAAACCCTTCGTGTAGATGTCGCAGTCAACGCGAAGTCAACCGTCCACAGCTCGAATGCAACGCTTTCAATACGAAAAGCAAGCAAAGTTTGCTTTTTATGACACCGTTGAACCACCTCTTGCTAAGAAAATTCAGGAAAATTTTGGACTCTCGGACGGAGAGTTCTTCCGTATCCACCTTATAGCTCCTGACCTCGAGCCAAAGGATGCCCTGCTTCCCTCTCCAGACCACGTCCTAGAGAAGAAATCTCATCCTAACCATCATGATGTCAAAATCGACATCTGATCTTTCTTCGATCAGAATTCAGTGGAGTTCTACAAGAGAGGCATCGAACAGCTTCTAGTGCGTTGGCAATAGGTTGTAGATATTGATGGTGTGTAGCATGCTGGATGAATGGAACAAAAAGATAATAAAAATATTAAAATCAAAATTCAGCCAGTTTGTTGCAAGACTTATGGACCAACCTAATATTTCACTAAATCCACTGCTGCTTTTAGATTTTTTCTTCAGCGCTTATTTAATGGTCAAAGGCAGACAGTAAGATAGATTGGTTATCGTTGAGAATGTGGTGGAATGACGAAGAGAAACCAAGGGGAACGATCTCAAACTTACGGAATAGGATCCCCATCTTGCCCATTGGTTCCCGCTTTGGATGAACCTTCGAATAGGGGGAGTTCTCAGATGTTTTCAACAGTTGTGAAGCTTTCTCAGTGCCGCTAGGGAGGAGGCTCGCCGCAAAAGCGCCACGTCTCTTGGAGTGGGTATTTTACTGCGTTGGAGTGATGTATGGCTCTAAGTGAAAATCACCCGGTCCTGGTAATGACCATGACATCTACTATTGGCCTGTCGTGTTTGAAGGAATTTTGCAAGCTCCAACCTAAAGTGCAAAATTTTTGTCACCACTAGGAATTGAACTTGGATCATTTCTTCAGCACTTTTTGGCTTTCACAGGGCCGCTCGAAAATAGACTTCGGTTTTACAGTCCTGGCTTGATCCTATAAAGTGAAACTGTTTTGAAAATACGCTCCACCCTGAAAGACCATTCTTGTTGGGGGCCTAGTTTACTTTTA